AATTTCGAAATATGAAGGAAGAATCAAAGAAGTTTAGTAAGAAAAGAGATATTAATAAATATATATCAAATTCAACTAAGACTGAGGAGGTAACATTTTGAGAGCTATTTTTTTAAAACTACTCGTGCGATTTTTTACAAAACTTAGCAGTTTGGCATTCTTTGAGTCGTAGAATGGAAATATGAAAAACAATTTACATGTCATTTCAGAAAAAGTCGATTTTGTGTCAAAATACCTATGTTAGATTAATGCTATATATAAGTCTAATACATATCCTACGTCGCGCTTAGAGACATAAAAAACGCAAGTTGAATTTCGTCAAATCGGCCCAGTCGAATGGAAGATATAGAACTGTCCCAGTTCCCCCCCCCTCGCAGTGTACTATTCTAAGGGATGACAATAATACTCGTATGAGAGTTATGGAAGGAAATTTTAACGGAAAAGTGTAGCTTTGAAAATAAAGAGGGAAGAAATTTGAGACTTTCTGATCGCGATGCTCTGTCGATATAATTCTAGCCGTCAAACAGCGATTTTCTCTCAATAAGATTCAGTAGCAACGTAAGAATAAACGCACGAACAGGAACAGCAGTGGTCGCCTCGTTTGGTTACATCATTCAGAAAGTCTACAGGAGCTCCGGAATAGGAGGTCACTAGCGTGGAATGTGCACGACCAGGGTATCACTTTTAGTTCTCTGAGGAACACAAAATTTGCTCGTTCTCACAAATTCGTTACACATCCTGAATAGCAAACCTTTGACATATGATTGGCAGCCTTTGCTTACCTTAAAAGTCTCAACTCCAGTGCAATTCTTGAGTGCGAGGGAAGAACAGGCCTATATTCAGAAGTTAGAATTGATTTTTAGGCATGTTTACTATTAAAACAAAATTTATCTACTTAAATTGTGGTTCACTTACAAAAAGAAGTGTCGAGGCCCTTTTATTAAGGGCTCTGGTGCACTCCGGTTGAAATTATAATTGTCTCGAGAACTGAGAATACCGAAGCGCCGCAATTTAAGCTCTCACAAGGCGAAAACTACGAAAATGTTCAATGTTCATGCAGCCACCCGGTGCGCTATTTCACAATGCACATCAGCGTAGCCACTGAGGGAGGGGTTTCGAAAATGGACCAATGAGCTTCTTTTGCTTTTGTGACGCTAAATTTTCGTGCATATGAGCATATGTTCTTTACGTTTTAATTTGCATTTGTTTTGCAGTTACAAATGTATGGCATAAAAGTAGAAAAGCTCGTAGTGCTTTCGTTTTATGAGTTTAATTAATCGCTGAGATTTCACTTTCGCGATTGTTACTCCGCATTATATTTGGATGATGTTCACGGCATATTATGTGGATTAAAGAATTCAGATATATTTTTTTAATCGAGCTGAGAATGACTGAAAGTGTTACAATTTAGCTAGTATTTTCTATTTCAGTGCTTGCATTCTTTTGATTTTTAAAGTGTAAGATTCAGAATAATATAATCTGATTATATCCATTGTTAATATTAAAGTTATATGCGAATAAATTGCATATAACTCGTTGTGAATAAATAAAGTCTGTTTGATGAGTATTTCTTGTGTAGACAGTATATTTAAGAGTGACATTTATTAAATGAAATCTAAAGCCTAAATGTATACGAATGCAAATTAGTAAAGTTCACTTTGAATAAAAATTCTGCATTAGTTATTATTATAGAACATCTTTTTCATATAGACTGCAATAAAAAAGTGCTGACTTCTATTTACATGTATAATTGGTGTAAATATTTTTCTCATACGCATAGTCTTATGTAAAGATTGCATTTGGGCTCAGATATTTATCACATATTTCTTTCTTCATCTTATTTACCACTTATTAAGTAATATTTCACATCAATATTTTTGCGAAGTATCCAACATGTGTTTGAATTGTTTTCAACCAGGTAGTGAAATCTTCATAATTGCCTATATTTGATCTAACTTCGCAATGAAAAGTTTCAGAAGTAATCGACGATACTTTAATTATTTTTCGACCATCTTGCTTAAATACTAAAGCACGCAAAGGTCATGTGACATGACAGAAATATTACTGGATTCTCATTGGTCCATCCTAGAAGCCACTCCCTCGGTGGCTACACAGATGTGCACTTGTGAAATACGCGCCCGGTGCACCCAGACTATGTGAAACAGCATTCTTCCATGCTAAACCACCTAGCTACATAAATATTTGGCGGCATACAAAGTTCGTATGCTACAGATTAATTGTTTAATTTTTCTATTTTGGCAACTAAGCGCGATTACCATTTTAACAAGAAAGGATCTAAAACTGCCCTAATATTCGAGGCAATATAAAAACGCGCACTACTAAATTGCCTTTCTAGGGCTCTAAAAGTAAACACTGACTACATCCAAAAGCAATAATAACATTTTACTGTGTTTTGTATGTAATAAAAATGCATACTAGTTATAAAAACTGTAGAAAAATTTAACAGCATGGTAATGCAGCAATTTTCGAATACGAATCCATATTCTGTATTTGATACAAGCTTTCTTGAATTTGATATAAGCTTTTTGTTATTTTCTTGTATCTGATACAAGCTTTCGAATGTCAAAAGCTACAAAATAAAGAGTGTGTGTGAAGAGGCATTGTTTTGCTTGCCTATCATCATACTTCCCTTTCACTTTTCCTGCAGCTTTAGTGCTTAGCGGTATAGAAACGTAGCTACGAAGTTAAAAAAATCTACCTACAGAGACTAGAAATATAGCGAGGTTTACGTGAATTACAAATAAGTGTTAGTACTTTTATGTTTTGCAGTTGATTACATACTAAAAATCAACAATGGAATTCTGAAAAACATCAGAGCACATCTGTGAATTCGCTAAGTGTTGCTTGTGAAATATTTTTTTTTTTTTTTTTTTTTTTTTTTTTTTTCTTTTTACCTATGTGACTGAAACAAAGTCTTTTTAATCTCATAAATGTGGAAAACAAAATCTTTTTACATAATAATAAGTCAACGAGTTCTTTTAATCTTTCCAAATTTCCAAAACAAATACATAAGAAAGCTGACTTTCATTCTCTGATTCCATCATCTATTAAAGGGATGGGAATTCTGCATTAACTTAAAAGAATTCTAAGATTTTTTTCACTCGCAGTTCATTTAAGCGTAATATACGAAAAAAATAATCAAAAATAGAGGTAAAAGGATCAGGAACAATTTTGATTTAATTTTGCGTTATTACTCATACTTGCAAATTAATTAAGAAAATATAATGTTCACAAGTAAGATATTTATAGCAGTATAAAGACTTGCATACGAATATTTTCTCATCCGAATTTAAACCATACTATTTGGCTGGTGTTGCCACAACGACTATCAACACTTATATCGCAGTACTGTTTTGTATAATCTTTACGTGAACTTGTTATTCATAAACGAAGAGTGTGTGTGTGATTATGGCAAAGCTTCGAGGGCTATCTGCCTAAGAGGAAGGATGCCTTCGTGGAGGACTTTCTAAGGGTGGTGCGGCGAGGTGTATTTAATTATGGCAAAGCACACTGGGGCTATCTGTCTAAAGGGAGAGACGCCTTCGTGGAGGACTTTCTAAGGGAAACTGGCTCGTATACGCGTTACACATGAGGAAAACCACGAAAACACCCATGCAGCCAGCCCGTTCGCGGGATTCGAACCTCGGACCGAACTACCAGTGTTCAGCGAATTTACCGCTCGGCCGCTGGTGGGCCCCTTTCTAAGGGAACCTGGCTCGTATACACGTCACACATGGGGAAACCCACGAAAACGCCCATGCAGCCAGCCCGTTCGCGGGATTCGAACCTGGGACCGAACTACCAGCATAGGCGAAGAATTCATATTCAGATAAAAATATACTTATTAAATATCCCTGATTATTTAATTGCTGCGACTAAAAATGCACTACACTTTGATTTGGGTTAATTTCATTTCGTTTGTACATGAGTTTATGCGCATGATAACTTCTATAAAAACTGAATAATTCTAGTAATAAATTTGAAACCACAGTAAAAATGTGTTACATTTTAGAGCAGTAAGCTAGACCTATATTCATATTTTCCATAATAAGGTAGAATAACCATTAGAAAATTAAATAAACCTAAAAAATATGAAGTGACACTGTGTTCCAACATTCTAGCATTTTTAAAAACTGAGTTACAATGCTTTGGACTTAAACCTATTAGTAATCTTCCAACTACGCAATTTTGACTGCAACAGTTTAACCGTGAAATATTGCAAACTTCATAAAAGATCTTTGCGGAAAATTCACAATATATTAAAAAAAAAAAAAAATCTGAAATGTTTCAGATTTTAAATAACGTCTAAAGGGGCATTTTTTTAACGTTTTGTGTGTTACCTATATTTATTAAATATCATGTTCTTTGCACTTAAACCATAAAATTTAGTTCAATAGCAACGTTGCAAAATAATTTTAAAATGAGCCTATCTTTCGAATTTCCGATACACCGTTCGATGCGCTGGAGATGAAAAGGTTTATTTTTCGCCGTAGAGTATTGCCATTGCTCGCTTTTAAATCGTTAAGTTTGTTACTCAAAAATTCGTTAAAGTTTTACAAAATATGAAATCGATAATAAAACAAATTCCAAATTTGGGATTTCAGATGGCCCTTTTCCTCAGTAGGATTACGTCATTCAAAATTATATGGCTCTAAATACCGTTGTTTTATCACAATGCGAGAAATATACATACATTTATGGATTTTTCATTATTTAATTTCTTCAAATATAATGAAAGAATTCTAACATTTTGTGGCAACAGTTTGAAAAGTGAACCGACATTATAGTAGCCTGACGCAAAATGCAAAAACGAAAGTAATAGTCCTTCGGGACTCAGATTCCTTTGGACTAAAAAATAAATAAATAAAATACTTCCCCCCCCCCCTGAACTTAAGGAATCGTTTCGAATATGCTAAGCTTTTCAAAATATGATACGAATATTGTTTCAGTAAGCTTTGCCTTATTAAAAATAAAATGTTTCAGCTGCTCACCTGTAAAACAGGATTGTTGTCATAATCAACATACGCAGATGGACGTCCTTCCAAAGTACTAAAAGCGACGTTGCCACCAGTAAGAGGAGAAATATCACTGAATTCTGTAGTACACAACGCTTTAGTTTCATCACCATACGTCGTAAAGAGAGAGACGTTCACGCCATATGTTGACTGGCAGGTAGCACTGTAATATTGATAAGGAATCCATTCACCATCTTCGCTGGTTCTTTTATAAATGGCGAAACTCTCAGGACGGCTATTATAGAACTTCACACGGACATACGTGATGTCGAAGGATTTACCTGTAAAATAAATGTGAATACTGTAATGAATTATACTTATTCACACGGAAAAAAAAACTGAAAGTTTCAGATTTTACATTACATCCAAAAGGACTTTTTTTAACGTTTTTTGTGTTACCTTTACTTATTGAATACCATGTTCTTCGCACTTAAACCATAAAATTCAATTCAACAGCAATATCGAAAATAATTTTAAAATGAGCATATCTTTAGAATTTTCGATACACAGTCTCGCGCGCTGAAGATAAAAATGCTTTCTTTCTTTCTTTCTTTTTTTTTTTTTTCTGAACAGTGTTGCCATGAAACGCTTTGAAATCGTTGGGTTTCTTAATCAAAAATTCGTTAAAGTGTTACAAAATATGAAATCGATAATAAAATAAATTCCAAATTAGAGCTTCCAGTTGCCTATATTCGGTGGAGGATTGCGTTATTCAAAATTTGATGGCTCTAATACCTAAAAATGTTTGCTACCAATCGGTAGCAAACATTCAGCAATCGGTTTTTGGCAAACAAGGGTACCTACATCTAAGTGCCGTTGTTTTATCACAATGCGAGAAACATGTATACATTTATGCAGATTCTTCATTATTTAATTTCTTTAACTATAATACAAGGCAATAATATTTGGTGGCAACAATTTGAGAAGTGAACCGGACATTTAAAGTTTTCGACTCAAAATGCCAAAACGAAATTATTAAACCCAAACGGGCGTCCCCCCCCCTCCATTTACACACACATATACGTTTTGAGAGCGTATATGTGTGCTAAAGAATATAAAAACACAGTATCTTCAGAATTTCTAGTAAGCTGTCTAGCGCACTAGAGATAAAATGAATTATTTCATATTTTGTGCCAAATTAATAAAATTTGCATTAATAAATTCAGCGATTTCAAAGCTGACATTACGCAAAATATAAAACATTTGTACTTCGAATTTAATTAGAAAACTCAGCGATTTAAAACAAATGCGTTGCTAATAGCCGAAATAAAATATTTTAAACTTCTACAGAATAGTGTGCTGCCATTCGGCAAAGAGAAGATATTTAAATTTGCCTTTCAAGTTTGTCTCATATTGCTTAACAAACAATTAACGATAATAAACTTAGTTATTTATCTCCATTATTATTAACTATTAGCCGGACGCGTTACTAGCTGAGCTTATTAAATCATTATATATATTTTCTTTTTATAACAACTATTTTAGTGGGCGACGGCCAAACAGCTAATTAGCTAAAAATTATAGAACATTTACGTGCAATTTTCGAGGAAGCAACCGAGAATGAATAAGTGATTGAACCATTTTTCGATACTTATCACAGACTTAAAATTCAAAACGTTATTTGTTTTAGAGTCAATGGTTTTGATTTGGGTGGAGAATTTTGCGTCGAGTTTCAAGTTCGTTCTTTTATAGTTGATAAAAACACTTATTTCGTGAATATTTCCTTGATAGAATACAGAAAACATAAAATCATCAGCATCGTTAATCGAAGTTTGAATTAAAAGTGGAGAATATATAATTTACATGTATCGCTTTCTAGATATTTAAATGCGTGTTAAGTTGGTAAACCGGATGTCTTCTAGACTGATTAGAGATTCGTGCAGGAAGTTTGATTGAAGCCACTGGGTATCATCGTGTGAGAGTTTTCAATCAAAACTGGCAACTGTGTAATTTAACTATGCTACAATCTGATATTTAACGAAAAAGATACTTATATGACAGAGCCTTCTTGTATAATATACCTAAGTTACAGAAACGTAGAGAAGGACAAATTCATGTCAAAATTTAAAAAGTTGTCAATTAATTAATTAAAACGGTTAAATTTTTATATGAATATTCTCGCTTGCGGATTACGACTACCGAAAAAGAGGATAATCTATATAAAGAAGAATGTGTGTTTGTTCGCGATTAACTCAGTCACTACTGTAGCTATCATCACCAAATTTTCTGGGTCCTGGAAAAGGTCGACGACCATTCCCCCCCCCCCAAAAAAAAGCTAAAAGCAGAGATATTAATTAAAAACTCTGAAAAAGCTAATTTTCGCCCTCAATTTTCAGAGTGGCAACAGTCTCGCATACTGGAGATAAAAATCTGTTTTAATTCGAGAAGTGTTGCCATTGCTTGATTTCAGATCGTAGAGTTTGTTAATAAAAAATTCCTAAGTTTTACAATGAAACAAAAATAGCATTGTCAAACATTAAATACATTATTCCCGATTCCAAAAATTAATGGGAAGATATTTCGATAATTCCCATCTTCGTATGACTTTCATCAGCCGAGATATTAATTAAAAACTCTGAAAACACTAATTTTCGCACTCATATTTTCGAGTGGCAACAGTCTTGCGCGTTAGAGATAAAAATGCTTTATTTCGAAAAGTGTTGCTATTGCTCGCTTATCAAATCCTAGAGTTTGTGAATCAAAATTTGTAAGTTTTACAAAATCTATACACATAAAGAAGAGTGCCTGTTTGTGTGTTTGTTCGCGTTATTGATTTCTGATCAATTATGATCAATTTTTTGCCACATTTAATCGACTAAAACTGAATATAAGAGAAATATTGAATGGAACTTGAGCTTTTACGACCATTTGATTAGAAAGAAGAAAATAATTAAAAACTGCATACCATTGTTGCTGATATAATGAGAGAGAATTAGTTTATTTTTCTATCGAAATTTTTTCTGTGGGTTCCATATCGCATCAGACTGAAAAATGTATGACTATGAATCGTATTTTCTGTATCATTATTACAGAAGAATTACAGCGGTAACTTTCTCTTTGTTGTTAGATACATCACTCCCAATCTAACCTAACTGCTATCGGGCACTTTTGCTAATATTAATATACGAGTATAAAGAAAAAAATATTAATTCGCATAGCAATTTATGAATATCGCTACCAATTTTGTAAACAGATATAGATACTTAAGTGAAATTAAGTGAAATTATATGTGAAATCATTGTATTTTTGTGTATAACGAATGTAACATGTAAAGCTTGAGCAAAACGATGCTCTGGCGGGAAAAATAAGAATACAGGGTCAAGTCTATTTAACATTTAGCAAATAGCTATCTCGCTACAGGAGCTAAGAAATCAAGAGAAACGATTGAATTAAAGTGTAAAAGGAAAATTATTTAACTCTTTCGCATTGGTAGAGGCCAAAATCTGTTTCATTCAATTATCTGAAACGCCCGTATAAATGTATTTTTGTTGGAATGGATTTCCTACCCCTTGCCAAGTAGAAAGCTTCAGCGCTAACAATAACCTACTTAAGTAAAGCGACAACTTCTCTCTTGGGATCTTCATACGTTTTCACCACTGTGTGCGTTTTTCCTTAGGACAGGTTTGCAACTTCCGGCATTGATAGCTAAACATTGACGCCTAAACAAAGGAGAAAGAAGTTGCATTCAAATAACAGAACTTTTAATCGCTTCAAAAGAATGATTGGCATAAGATTTAACAACACCGAAAAGCAATGGGGAAAACACGAAGTAGAAAATAATTCAGGCGACCTGCCGATGTCTGAATGGTCGGGCGGTTTGGGCGACTTCGATGTAAAAGTGTTAACAGTTAGATAGCGGAAAGAAAGTGAATATAATAGCACGTGATTTAAAGTTGTCATATTCTACATTAGCAACAATTCTGAAAGCCAAGGAAAGAACTCAGGTAGTTATTAAGGGTTCTGAATCTTAGAAAACCTACAATTATAACCAAAAGCAGCAGGGACCCATTCATGAGATGGAGAAGTTGTTTATTTGGATGGAAGATTTAAACAAACAAACCCAATCGTAAGTCTTCACACACTGCAATGGAAGAAGCTTGATTCAGACTTTAACCCTTTGAGACACAAAACGCCCAGACAAAACGCTTTTATTCGAACAATCACAACCACCCCAAAGCGGCTGAGACTGCGATGTTGTTTTCTTCCCTCATCCTAAGATATGTAGTAACAGGAGCTACTTCCCCAAATGCACTGTATCAGCTTATTGCAGACAGCTTGTTCTAGAAGGCTAAGGGAAGCTTCCTTGTTAGCAAGTAGAAAGGATGTCATCTGAAAATCTTATCGGTCAGTCGGATTTTTTTTCTTATTTATTTTCATCTATGAAAAAACGTTTTCATATAGACACGTATTCCCGAACAAAGCTGTTACTTCAATGTTACAGCGTCACAAAAATTGGTTTAGGGGTTTTGGCTTTAAGTTCGGAGATTTTTAACTTTATGCCGATTTGGTATAAAAGTCGACGAGCGAACTCGCGAAACTAACTGTGCAGGAGAACACAGCGGGAAAGCTGTAGACACAATCCTCACGTATGAGCAAATTTAGTTCCTCTAATAACTGGCTACATCTCGCAGACGTGAACGGAACTCCCGCATTTTATGCCTTATGACTAAGCCTCTATGACATTTATACCACCGTTTAGGCTCCGTTCAAATGGTGGTTTAAACGTCGTAACTGTTTTAAGCCGAGCTTCGTTGCTAGGTGCCCAGACATTGCTACGTTACAAAATCTGGTTTAGGGATTTTGGTATACAGTTCGAAGTTTTCAACCTACGCCGACTTGATATGAGTTCATTAATCAGAGGAAACGCGGGAAACCTATTGAGTGGGAAAACAGAGTGGGGAAAGCATACGCAAATCCAAGCATACGCAAATTAGCTTCTCTAATTGGTTACAGCTTTGATCCTCTCTCGCTGTTGTGAACGAAACTCCCGTATTTTATGCCTAACGACTAAGCCTCTAAGACATTTATACCACCGTCTGAAGAGAGCATTCGATTTTACGAAGAGAGGGCTTAATTTTTCTTTAAATGGCTAGTTAGATCCACCAACTATCATGTCTATAATTCAATCGCAAGATCAAAGAATCATTGCCGCGCAGACGGTATACTGGTTAGGGGAACCTACAGCGGTACCAAAGGGCCTGGGTTCGAATCCCGGAGAAGGCATGAATGTTTGTAAATGTATAGTGTCTTTGCGGCATGGGGGCACTCTTAAATATATGGC